CAGAGTGACCAAGTTCTTGCCTGTGTCAGCCTGGGACAAAGAAGAATACCCAAGAGAAATGGAAAAGCAGATTCCTTAGTCTGTTTGCAGAGACCCCTTGCAGATGGCATTGTAGAGTGAAGGCGGCGATGTGCAGCAGAGCCTCATCAAGCTGCAGAATGGCAATACGCTGGGCAACGGCTGCTGCTTCCATTTTCTGAGTTAGCAAGAGTGCTAAAACCAGCCTGTGTGTCAGCCTTCCCTGTGCTCATAAACACACACATAACTTTTTTCCTCCCTTTAAGACATTCAGAGGTTTTAATTAAGCACCGCCATGTGGGGTTGCTCTTTTTGCTGGATCGGCAGCACAAGCAGGGGTGCCCGTGAGCTTTGCAGCCCCGCAGTCAGCTCAGCTGACCTGCGTCCTGCCAGCAGCCCTTGGCTCACTCACTGATGACCATGAGCAGGGTTGCTGGGAAAAAAAAAATAAAATCCAGCAATTGCAAGCCAGCGAGCTTTGCACCAGGCCAGCCACTTGGTGGACTTCACACCATGAGTTGGGGCTGGAGGATTTAACTACACGTGGTCCGTCTGGAGCAGCTCCCTCCTCCGCTCCTGGCAGTGGCACCCTCTGGGATTAACTGCTGCCCCACAGCCTCTGATTTGAACAGTAATTTATGGGAAATGAAATCGAATAAAGTTGATCAGCTAGAGAAAATAAAAAGTTTCTCTGAAGGCCCATACTTTAAGTTCTGTCCCCCCCCCATTAAAACATTTAATTTGAATTAAATGGGGTCAGGCAGAGCAATAGCAATTCTTGGCCAGAAACCCTGCAGAGGAGTTGGGCAGACACCAGCATCTCCAAGCCCTGCTGGCAGCTGCGGTGGTGTGGAGCCATGCCAGTACCTTGTCAATGTTCAGGGGTAGCACGTATCTGCGGGCTTCAGGCTGTGGGGCTTTCTCTGCCTGTCGCTTCACTTCGTCCCAGTTTGCTCGTAAGTTGGCTAAGTAGAGGTAATTGTAAACAAACTCGAACCTGCACAAAACCAGGATCACAGACAGAAACAAAGATACCATTTGCAAGTGAGGGGATTCAGATGCAGCTGTCTTTTCCTAAGACTTAATGGAGTAGGATGAGTCCCCATCCAGCTCCTTGCCAGAGCGAGCTGTGTGTGCGCACCACTTCCCCTGCGAGGAAAACTCAGCAACTGCTGGGTTTTGCCCCGAGC